CACTGTAGTCTGAAGGGTCGCCGAGCCCAGTCTTCATCATCATCAGTCACCTCTCCTCTTCATTACAGCTTGTTTTTTCACTATAACACATTCCCATGATGCTGAGCGCTGATGCAGTCTGCCAGGACTAATTGGGTAGGAGAATTTCAGGGAACCTGCTAAAAGGAATCCTCAGACAAAAAGCCAGGACATTTAAGGTATTAATTTGCAAATAAATCTCATAAAAATGCTTAGAGTTCACTGTTATGTCTTTTGTGTTATTCTGTCCAAGTAGTAAAAAAAAGGAATATTAGTTCTTCGATTTAAATAAGTGTGATTAAATGGAACTGATATACATCTAATGGTTTTCACAAAGGGTAAAGCTAATAATTAATCTCTAGAAGTTTATAAAAACGGAGCTGCACGGTGGAACAGTGGGTAGCACTGTTTCCTTGCAGTAAGAAGATTCTGAGTTTGATTCTTGGCCTAGGTTCTTTCTGTATGGAGTTTGCATGTTCTCTTTGTCCATGCATGGGTTCTCTCTGGGTACTCTGGGTTCCTCCCACAGTCCAAAAACATGACTGTTAGGTTAATTGGCATCTCTAAATCCTCTATATCCTTAGGCGTGAGTGTGTGTGCATGTTTGTATATCTTTGTGTGACTTTGTATAGCCATGAGACAGACTGGCGACCTGTACAGGGTGTCCCCCATCTCGCCCGTGGACTGCTGGAGATACTGGCCCCACCGTGACCCTGACAGAATAAGTCAGAGAAGATTGATGGCTTTATAGATTTTATTTAAATCAGGATCCTGTTGACCATCATTAGATTTTCAAAGCTATTTAAAAGGATAATTCAATCATACAGTCAGATTGGTGAAACGGTTTCTAGCTGATTGTGTTGAGATGCAGTTGAATTTGTAGGACGATCCTTCTGGACGAATCAAAATCTGGTCCTCACTAGATACACTAATACATTGGTCTATATTTTTCACTGATATTAGTGTGTTTTTTTTATATATCAGTATTGGTATATTCATAAGAAAATTAAGCAGCCATGCCATGAGATCATTTGGAGTGCATGCATTGTCCCTTCCCTGCATTTCCTTTCAATTTTCAATGTTTTGCTTGATTTGTTAATAGCGGTGTTTTTTGCTTAAATTAAGAATTGTGTAATAATTGTTATCATTTTGCCGTTTTATTATATAAAAGGAGGAAGAAAAGGAATATCAGGTATAAAAATCGGCCTAAACATATCGGCAGCACATATCAAGGATCCATTTGACTGATGTGGAAATAATCAGAATTAAATCGACTTTGAAGAACCTGTATCACCCAATCTCTAGCCCTCATTACATACAGCAAGATGAGGATGGATTTATGTGTGTGTGTTATGGGCTCACATCTCCCCAATGTTCATCATGCTTGTCCCCCAGGATTTATGTTTGGTTTCCTTCAATTAATAACTAACATATCCATCCAACATCATCACCCATTCATATCAAAATAACCAATATTACTGACTTCACAGACCTATCGGTTTTAAGTTTTCCTCTATAAGTTTCATTTAAATTAATACTTGTAAACCTTTCTGTCTGCTCATATGTGTCTATTTTAAGTGCTTTACTACTAATATCTAAACTGCCACATTCAGACCATATGAGAAAATCTGATCGTAACATTCACCAAACAGCAATGTCAACCAGATGACGCAGAGGCAGTCGATCCTTTTTTCCAGGTAAATCATGATGTGTTGACAGATTGCCATAAATCGTGTAGAAGGAGGCAGTCCTACAACCTGTGTGACAGCGGCACACTTCCTGGGCCTCCTGATGGTCACTTAGCAGTGGGCTGCTTTACTTTACGGTGCCATAAAGCAGCTTACTCAAAACACAGTTTTATGAGATGACAGTAATTAGCGGGTTGTTTAAAGGTTTGTTGGGTGCAATCACATCTATCCTGATGGCAGTGATTAGCCCAGCGGCTGCAGTACACTGCAGATTAAATGGGTGTTAATGGTAATTCTGTGTAATTGCTTAAAGCGGTTCTAAGGACAGCAGCAAAACAAACAAAAGAAAGATGTGTTGTTGGATGAAGCAACCAGCAGTAAATAAATAAAGCAGCTAGTTTCCCTTTGGGACGGTGAAGTCCAGAAGGCAATCCTTAAACTGTTTAACATTTTGGGGTTGTGTCTGTACAAGCTTCATACACATGGAAATTTGACCCAATTTTTTTAGCAAAAAGATCAGTCAGATTGACTGTGATGTTATTCTTACTGATTGACCAATTAGGATAACATCAAAACATTTCACATTTCACTGGTTCCTTCAACAAGTAGTTTTGTATATAATTAGTTTAAAAACCACTTAGACTAAACCTTAGGCCAAGCAGAAATCTGGTGAAAATAATATCCTTTAATAGATTTATGCAAAAAAGCAAAGTTCAACTTGGTTGTTTATAAAGGATGTATGAAAATTACTATTACTAAACACAATGTGGAAATAATAAAATCATGTTGATTACAATCCAGTATAAACAGAATTTCAGGGCTAAATCAAAGCCCAGACCTCGTCCTGACTGAAAGGCTTTAGACGACATGCATGATTGCACCAAAAATTCGGCGAACTTATGTAATTAGGCGAAAGAGAAGGAAACACATTAAAAAATTCGGCAAAATAACGTAATTAGGCGAAAGAGAGAGGAACAAATTCAAAAATTAGGCAAACTAATGTAATTTGGCAAAAGAGAGAGGAACAAATTCAAAAATTAGGCAAACTAAAGTAATTTGGCAAAAGAGAGAGGAACAAATTCAAAAATTCGGCAAACTAACGTAATTAGGCGAAAGAGAGAGGAACAAATTCAAAAATTTGGCAAACTAACGTTATTTGGAGAGAGAGAGAGGAAAAAATTAAAAAATTAGGCAAACTAATGTAATTAGGCGAAAGAGAGAGGAACAACTTCCCCAACATTGACATGATGTATGATGAAGTCCATCAAAAACTAATTAAAAAAAATATTGCAATATTTCAGTAGATCTGTATTCATTAAAATCACAAAACTGCAATAATGCATCGGACGACATTGGTATTGATTAAAAATTTAACTGAGTAGTTTTCAAAAGTTAAAATGTATTTGTAGGCAAACATCCACTTCATTCTTATTTAATATACAGTAAGTCTTAAACCTCCGGGCCACTAGCTGGCAGTGCACCAGTCATAGACGAATTTTTGATTTCAGAAGTTGGGGTGGACGCAAATTTTTTTTATATAACTAACGTCAGTGTGTTTGACCATACAATCACAGACTCAATGGCGCATCAGATGTTTCTAAAGCGTGCTTCTCCTGAGTGACAGTGGTGACAGCCACTCACACAGGAAAAAACGGTGGTCCAATCAGGAGCTTGTGGGCGGTCTAAACTCAAGGAAGCGGGCTTCAGCTAGAGCTGTGGTTTTCCATTTGGTCCTAGTGCTCCACGAATGTCTGTGTAGCATTGCATTATTTTTCAACAATTATCAAAATCAAAATTTAATGAAAATCAATAAAAAGTCTAGGGGACAAAAACGGATGTTTGAAAAAGTGCAGGGGACATGTCCCCCCCAAAATTACGCCTATGGCACAAGTTCATTAGCCTGTTATTTAGGCTAATGGCTGCTCTGCAGCTCTATAATAAACTGAAAAATCAAAATACTTCATCTTTATTTATCATTCTTTATTCGTGATGCATATGATCCTATTTCCAAGTTCTAGCCATTTCATGCCACCCTATTTATGCTGAATGTGGAACAATAAGATGTTTAATCAGGGATTTTTTCCCCAGCTTTTTTCAATGACTGCAGATTTACACTAAATCACCCATAATGCGTTTCAACATTTAATCTTTTGAAATATTTTCAACTGTCACCAATCCAAACTGTGTTTTGTTTTGTATTTTAATCATACAAATATTTCCAAGTTATGATAAAAGCTGTTCTTATTAACGTGGTTGGAACCAGGATAATCAGGGTTGCTGCTCTGGTCCAGGGAGGTTCCTGAAGGAGACAAAAAGAGAAACCTCTACATCACTACATGCCTTCCGCGGAGCCGTGAGGAGGTCCAGAGAAGCTACGGTTCTGCCCTGCATCCAGTGTTTGTCCTGCTGAAAGTGAGAGGTGTAGCGGACCCCGGCGCACGCCAAAAGCGTCAAACTTGCAACATTCATGTCAATGTACACGTACATGAATTTCAAAATAAAAGCCACCATGCAACGCGAGGGATTTATTGGAGGACTTCTGTACAATCGTGTTGAATTGTTATGATTATGATCATCCTTTGACTATTATTATTGATAGTATAGTTGTTTCTCTAAGAATTATTTTTTTTACTGTTTTCGGGAATATTAAATAAGTGACAAAAGTTAGCGCAGGCAAGAAATAAATACATTGTTGCAACGATTACATTATGTAGACATGTATGAATCTAATAATATAAAGAGTCAATTAACTTAAAAAGGACTAAATTATTAAGAATATTTAACTGCTTTTGTTTTTGAGGTGCAGCATGAGATCATAATAGATCTAAAAGGAGAAAATAGAAATCTTTGGCATTATGTTCCTGTATTTGTCCACACAAATACGCTTGTATCAAATCCAATGTGAACCTACTTTAACCGTTTTTTGTTTTTGTTTTTCTGCTTGTCCTCCTGCTGCAAGTTTGCTCTTTGAATTAATTGCGACCCGTTGTAGCACCTAAAAGGTTTATTTTTTTCTTCTGCAATATTGGAATGGATGAAATTCAACTCCTCAACAAACAAAAAAAAAAAAAAAGAAAAACTGAAATGTGCGAGATTTTCTGTTGTTTTATTTATTTTCCAGAATCAGCCAAAACTTTACTGATGCTGCAAACAGTTGGGACTGGCCTAGTCTGTAGGTTGTATGTGCCGATCATTTATTTTGTAAGGATGCAACGGAAGTGTCACCCGCGTCTGAACCAAGAGGACTTTTTAACACCTCACCAACTCCCACTACATGACAGGGGAGCAGTCAGGGGAGCCTCACCAGTCGGAGTTGGCTGTCCAGAGGCAAAGAAGCGCGCGAGAGCCATCCTCTCAGACTAGAAGCGGAGGAACCGCGTTCGGAGGAGCCAAGTTGCCCTCGTGCGCACGTTCCCGTCTCCCACTTCTTTACGCGTGCAGGGGACGCTGGTCGTGTTTTTGGAGCGTTTGGACCATTTGAGCGCGCGGAGACAAGCTGGATGTAGACGAAGACAAGCTGCTGGTGGTGGCAGCGCGAGCTCAGTTTCTGTGAAGTCGCGAGGAGCGCGCAGGACTCTGCGTTTGGGTTTTTATAGTTTATCATCAGAGCGGCTGAAACTGACAACAAATCGGTGGATTTTTTTTTACAAGTTTTTGGTGATTAAAGGTTTTATTCTGATAAAATTTGGTGGACATCTGGGAACCTGAAGACTAGAGTTTCTGCCAAAACTGATTCACTAAGGTAAGGTTATTATTATTTTTATGTATTTATTTATTTTTTTTATTTTTTTTATGTTAAAACCCTTCTTCATTTCCTTGTACCAGGATTGTGACATTTCGGTGCTCCTATGACTCAGTCATGTACAGTATGAATTGTCCTGCGCAACTCCGATTCCAACTTGAATTTACATGATCAGAAGCGCACTAATGAAGCGTCAGGCTCCTTTCTCACTCCGAGCGCATTTTACGCGTCCATATCAACACATACAGTTAAGGTTTCAATCAAGATTCCTGCGGCTTTTTGATTTTTTGTTAAGCTGAATGGAAATTGGATGTAGGTTTTAAAATGCGCACCAAACCCATCCACGAGATTCTGCTTCATGATGATTTATTGGAGTTTAGAGAAGCCTTATTTTACAGTTCGTGGAAATAACTAAAAGTTCACTGATTCCAGAAAAATCCTGGAAAACGCTTGAACCACGGATGGAGGTACATGGGAATGTGGTTGGACTTTACGCGCGTTAGGAGTCCAATCAGAGGAAATATTTTATGTTCTTTATGTGCAATAAAGATAAGTCCCCCTTCCATTCACAATAATTACATCTTATCTCTAGCAATAATGTTAAGAAAGAGTGCAATAAAACGGCGTGGCATGCTCCACTGGGTGGCTGAGGCTGCTGTCTCCTCTCTGCAGCGGTGACGTCTTCTCCGGAGCCCCTGGCCCCCCACTCCCCTCTCTGATTCTCCGATGCTCCTTGATCCAATCTGAAATTTCTCCAGAAAGCAGAGCAATGTTTTCTGTATTTTATTTATTTTTATGTTTTTTAACGTGGGGCCGCAGCATGAACAAAAAAGCAGTTTAATATAATCTGCACTTATTTAAACTGTATATATTTATAGGATTTTGTTTGTTTGTTTGTTTAATAACAAACAAACAAAAAAAAACTTTAGAATGAACTGCCCCCCCCAAAAAAAAAACTTTATATTTTATTGGATATTTACTCAAATTTTTTTAATAGATTATTTTTGTCTCATATTTTGTTCATATGGTTCATCTTAGATACATCTGTTGATTCTTATCAGCAAGTGCAGAACGTGCAGTTTAATCTGCAAAAGAGATAAACTGATATTGTGATTTGTGATTTTTTATTTTTTTTTGTTATAAGTAATAGTTTTAAGATGCACAGCAAAACCTGATCTAAAAATAAGTACAACTTCCCTAAATTTGAGCAGTTATAGATATATTTTGCAAGTGGAATGAGCATTTTCACCCTGAAAATAAGAGGATTAGATGTTATGCACCTAAAATAAGATAATTGAGATGTTTTCTTTTTTATTTTAAGCGTAGCTTGTCTATTACAGTGGCAAATTGTTTTTCTTGCCTCCTCAAAACAAGGGAAAATACACTTTCATCCTCTATGCAACACATCAGCCCATTTCTTCTCAATGCTGAAACAACTTCCTTAAATGTTCCTAAGCCTATAATCAAGGAACTGGTTTAAAAGCTGCAGTAATCGATGCACAGGGAAAAGTTTCATGGATGCAGAGCATCCCTTCAGTCAGGTTGTTTGATCAGAATCAAGCTTTTCATCCATGTTAATAAGAAACAAAAATTACCATTAGTTGTGATTAAGACTTAAAGTGTCACTAAAACAGTAATAATTTCTTGGCAAGTTTGCAGATATATATTTATTTACACAAATAAAAAGCAAAAAAGAACTTGAACTAAGGTCTACCAACTAAAGTTTTTGCACATCTAAAATGTGTTCAGCTCTCACTGTTACAGTATGCTGTTCTGTTCATCTGGTTTGTAACCCCATGAAGAATAAAACAATATGAGGCTGTGTTTGTCTTAAGGGAATACAATGCTGAAACTGATAAATGTGTGAATCTGTGAACTTTCCTCTCGCTGCCACAGTTATGATATGCCGTTCATTGGTAATGACGGCCTCAGGGTTAGGAGGCTCCGCTTGCTAGTCTGACTTTAATATAGATCAATCTAAATCTGGATACATACTGAAATTCTTTCTGCAGCACAGAAAGTTTCTTAAAAAAAAGTTACATGAATTTTTATAGATTTTTTTAGGTTCATATATTCATGCTTCATACGACCTGTATGAAAATATAAACCTAATTGTTTGGGTAATCTTTGAGTCAGTTCAAAATGAATGCAAATTCTGTTCAGGAAAAGGTGCATGTAAGAATCATTAGTGAACTTTATATTTACAAACTAAAATCATGATAGAAATCATGATAGAAAATGTCATATTCTTTATATTGAGTTCCTCTTTTGCTTTGATTAGAATTAGAGTAGATCCAACAGCAAAAAGCGACAGGCTCATGGTCTCTGTATGAGTCAGGGATGCTGCAGCTGCAAAATGAAGGTGCAGAGGATAATAGTTTAACTAATGCTGTAAATGAATTGCACGTATTGACCCGAGGAACACCGCCTGCCAGTCTGCTCAGACACATTCGGCCTCCAAATGAGAAACTAATTGCCTCTTTTTATGACTGAAATTGCTTTAAGACTATCATCTAGCTTGTAGTTATGGCGCCTCCATTTTTTTCCTTTTATTTTCAAATTAGATGGCCTCAGCTTTTTTTAATCATATGAGACAATGCTGAACTGTTTCATAAACTCTGATTTTCACGCACAAAGGGATGTGACAGAATTCAGGAGTTTTATTTTGCTGTCTGCTTTCTTGAACTTTTTAATATTTTCATCACATTACAGTCAAAAACTTAAGTTATTAACTTATTTTTATGGAGGAATAAAATACCAACACAAAGCAAAAGGAAGATCAACTTCATTTTTTTTTTTTTTTTTTTACATTTAGGAATCTTAAAAGTGTGGAGTGAATCTACATTGTCTTCCTTTCTTTTGAAGAACAGCTGAGGCTCAGTCAGTTTAGATTGGATGGACTCTATAATAATCACTTTCTGATGTTTTTGAAGTCTTGTCACAATTTTTCTATTAGATTTAGATTTGGACTTTGGATTTTGGAGAAACTGTAGCAGATATAAATGTACCATCTTCAGTTTTTAAGGACATGAAGGATTTGTTAGCAGACAGACAGTTAAACTCAGCTTGAAGGTAAAAGCTTGATCACTCAGAAATGCTGCAATAATAGTGGATTTTTATAATTACTTCAATCCTTTTGCCTTCCTTTTTTTTTATTATTATTATTGTTTTAGTTAGTTGTTATATGACAAATAGATGAATTAATAACTGAAGCTCTTTCCAGTTTTCTGTGCCTCCAGATGAGGGTAACTTTCAGCTGTGAAGGAGGTCAGGCTGAACCTCCTCAGTCGGAGGTCTCTGCTGCTCCTCCTCCTTCCCAGCTGATCAATATTTCTTCTCATTGATGCTGCAGCTCTGATGTGAACATGTCCAATTGGTTGAGGCTTAGAGAGGAAGTGAGGTGACAAACAAGGAAGACCGATGAAGAGAAGCTGAGTCTGTTTCTCTATGTTTGGCTGCCTTAAATACCTCGACACCCCTTTTCTTTTCCCCAAAGCCGACCGCTCTTCTAATGATTAAATTCTGCTCTACCTCTGAAAAAGTGAAGCTGCCTGGGATTGATCCTCACCCAAGAGGGGTGGAGTAATGCCCATCTGAACTGTGCTCAGAGCCCGTTTCTTCTGCCCCTGAGCTTTAACAGTGTGAAAACAGTTCTGCATGATTAATCTTCATGTTTTATTTACTGCTTTGGTTTGGTTCTGTTTTCTTTTCATGCTTTATAGAAAATACTAACATGAAAACACTTTTGAGCTTTTGAGCTCCTCCCTCAGATCCAATCTGTGTTGTTGTTTTATTATAATTGGATTGGTTATTTGACTTTATCACTAGAGAATGCACCGATCGGGTTGTTTTTGCAGCCAGTACAGGTCTCCAATTTTCTTTAGTATCAGATTGTATTGCTTCCCAGTTTTTTCTCCATTTTCCATGTGCTGCAGGTTCTTTATAAGAGACAGCTTTTTTAAATCAATTTCTTGTGTCATGTCATCAGATGTTTATTAAACTAACAAAAAGGAATAAATACTGTTGGTTTACAAATATACTGAGCAGAAAGTATTTTAAAAAATTGATCTTTGCTAGTATTTACCCTGCAAACAAAAGACCTGAGCTACAAGCATAAGGGGAAGGTTACTTTCAATAAAAAACATGTTTTATATTTGTGAATCTTCTTCATTAAATATGAAGAAGTTGAAGATTTCAATTTGTTCATTGTTGTCAGCTCATACATTAATGTGGCATCAGAGGCTTCATCTGTAAGAATAAGAGTTTGAAATATGTGACTTGTTCTTCTAAATTATTGATTGGCTGTTGTAAACTTGCGATTTCTACTTGAAATTTTTTGATTTGTACTCATACTTTACTGAATTTTACTTCAAAATTGGGACTCATACGCCTAAATTAATGATTCTTACTTGTAAATTTGCGATTCCTGCATATTAAAATAATTTGTAGGCGTAAGTTTGTGATTTATACTCATTCATTTTTCATTTATCCTTTATAAATGTATTTTTTTTGTGTAAATATGTGATTCTTACTTGTAACTGAAGTGTTTGTATTCATAAACCTAAAACATTAGCGTAAATTTGTGATTTGAACCTGTATTTTTCAGGAGCTGTAACATGTATTCACAATTTTTACACTTATAGTCTCACAGAAGAAAAATCAGATGTTGCATGTACCAGTTTTCGCTTTTAACTTAGATTTACAAATCCAGACACCTATGCATACTCTTCTTTTGGGTGTTATTTTACCCCATAAAACCAGTTCTCTGCCCATGTGATTGATGTCTCTCTATTTATCCTGCAATGTTTGCTAAAAAAAAAGATCTTGTTTTATCAAAAGACGGCTTTAATGACCCACTCGTCTTACAGGGAAGGATCATCCGTCTCAGTGTAATGCTATCTGTCATACTGCAACACTTGGCTTCTCTTCATTGTCTTTCTCTAAACTACCTGCATGTTTAGTCAATCGGAGCTGTTATCATCTCCCAGTTTCTCCTCACATGGCTGAAAGGCAACTTGCCCAAACAGATCACAGATCTGACAACAGCCGTCTCTGAAATCATGACAAGGTCAGCTATGATGTGAAAAAAAAAGAGTTACAATGATTTTGTTTTTCTTATTAATTCTATATGTTTCTGTGCTTGCCAAAGCTGTCCTTTAATGAGCGCCTGGAGAATGCAGATGTCATTGCACTAGATGAACAAACTGCAACAGCATATAGGCGTCCCTGTGTTTAAGAAGCTGAGGATGGGCTTAGAGAGGAGGAGAGCTCCCTCCTGTAAGTGTAGAGGATATGAAAGGCTGCTGAGAGCATGAAATGTGCGGTTTTTAGATTAAGACCAAGTGTGTGTTTGTGTGAAGTGGTCCAAGTGTTTTTTTTCTGTGCAGAAAGCTGATAAGGTGCAACCAAAGTCTAACAGTTTATGCTGAGCAAGGAATCTGTCACGGGTCCTCCAAAGAGAATTAAAAATGCTGCTGTTCGGAGGAAAGACAACACAAACTTATCCTGAGCTGTTTGGGTGCAGAGAGCACACCTGTGTGTGTGCTCATCTAAAATCCTTGCTTAAATGAGTCTTTGTGAAGCCTTATACATTTTATTTTTCTGCTGTTTTTTTGGCATGGGACATGCTCAGAAATGCTTGCTGTAAAAATACTAAAGTATTTCCACTAGCTTACAAAAGTATTTAAGCCCCTTTAACTTCCCTATAACTGAAAATGTTATATTTTTATGTAAAAGACCAACACAATTGAATTCAGCTTATTTATATAGCACCAATTCACAAAACATGCCATCTCAAGACAGTTTACTTAGAGAATTGAATAAGATCTCCCAGTCAGATTGGTCAAAAGTTTTCTACCTAAGGAAAACCAAATGATTGCATTGAGTCATTGACTTTGCAGGATTCAATTGTCCTGCATGAGCATGTGATGACAGTAGATATTTGCTTGGATTGTGCAAACCCTCACACCGAGCATTGATGCATTGACAGTGGAGAGAGAAAAAATGCCTTTTAACAGGAACAAACCTCCAGCAGAACCAGGCTCAGTGTGAGCGGCCATCTGCAGGGGCGGACTGGGGAGTTCAAGGAGACAGTAGCAGAGATACAGTACAAGAGAAATATATAAACACTGATTCATAAATAGTTTCTATGCTAGCAAAGGTAACAATAAAGTAGCTCCGTAGATCGTCTAGGAAAGTAACAGTTAAGAAGGTGCCTCCGGCAGTATAAGCCTATAGCAGCATGACTAAAGCAATAGTTACCAGAGCCCATCTGACTATAAGCTTTATCAAAAAGGAAAATTTTAAGGATAGTCTTGAAAGTACTCAGGGTTTTTGCCTCACTGACTAAAACTGATAGTTGGTTCCACAGGAGAGAAGCCTGATAACTAAAGGATCTGCCTCCAATTCAATTTAAGAAATTCTAGGAACCACCAGGAACATAAGGATTAATAATATCTCTGATAAGAGATGGAACTTGGTTCTTGTGTGCATTATTGCTCAGCCCGTCTGAGTCAATACTGAAACTATAATCTAAAAGAAAAAAAATCTATGTTTGGAACACTTTGATCCTTTCCTTGTCAGAAACTCTTCAAAAGTGCAGTAAAGGAAACTAAATGAAACTAAATGAAATAACCGGCTGATTATGCTGTATGACATCTCACTGTCATGCCATAATTTGAGAACATCAACGTGTATCAAGGGAGAAACACATCATTTGAATTAACTTACCTGTCCAGAGTGCAAGTTATAAACTGTTTCCCCGCTGCACAGATGTAGACTCTCGTTTTCTCCTGGCTATTACTTCTTTTTCGTTTCTTTTTTTCTTGTCGCTCACATGACAAAGAGGACTAGGCTGGGTTCATAACTCCTTATGTATCTATAAACTACCAGTTCTAAGTTTTCGTCTAGTAATTTTGCAGGATATGTATTTATTAAAGCAGTACTTGTTTCTTTTTCTTTTTGCTCATAAAAATCCCATTTTTTTACACAGTCCCTTTAAAGCAAGTTGAATAAGAACAGATTGTTTTACATAAACTGAAGAATTTCTGTAGCACCAGTTGGAAGCTTAAATTAGAAAGATGCTTAGCTTGAGATAAACCAAACTGAGAACCTCAAGCCTGAAGCATTCTAAGTATGGGGAGATGGGCTAAGGTTAGAGATACCAGTGGTATAAGTGTATGTACCTTACATGGGCTTTGCTCTGCTGTTTTTGGGCACTTCACTCAGAGCTTTCAGTACATTCCAGCCTCTCCCAGCTTATGCAAACAGCGGGCAGAGCTCTTCATCATCTCACTCTGTACCTGCTGTGTCTCTGCCTCCCCCCTGCTACTCACCCTTAACTCACACTCAGCTCTAAACTTGGGTATTCCTGCTGGAGGAGCAGTACATTTGCATCAATCAGCTGCCAGACCACGCAGAGGAATTTCCCATGCAGTGCGCCCTGCGAATGGAAAGTGAGCCTTGTGAAAGTTTCTTTGGCTCTGAAAGTACACAGATCTGCTCTATTCCAATAATTTTGTTTAAAAAAAATGATTTAACAAGCTTTTATAGTAGGTTTGAGATTTTCTCAGCTTTTTTTCTGAGCAGGGTCTCTGTTAACTCACCTTAGCAGTCAGGTGTAGTGAGAGTGTCTCTGAGCAAAACAGAAGAGAGGGATTTCCACCCTAATCTTTAAATCTGTTCGGAATGTCATGTCAAAATATTCGATTATGTTCACAGAGCCCACGGCGTTACTCCGTTTTGGTTCAGGTTGATTTCTCACCCAGTGAACTCTCAGAAGATTGCATAACTTGTTCTCTCCAAATTATTTTCTGACTTCATGTTTTTTTTTTTTAAAGGTCTGAGAAGAGGAGTTGTTGGACCCCTCTTTGCCTTTTTTGCGGCATCTTTGGCCGCCCGGACAGCATGCAGATGGTGGAGGATGGTGCCTGAGTTGGAGTCGGCCCTTGCGGATCTGCGTCGGACCTCTCCGTCCAGAGGAATGACGGCTCTGTGGTGCTCATTCTGGCTTTCCCTCCTGCTGCCTCTCAGTGTCTCAGCGGTTAGACTTCCCACTGCTCAGCCCACAGGTAGGAAATCCTCTTTCTCGCATTTATGTTGTTATTATAGCTAGGGCTACAACTAACAATTATTTTGGTAATCTATTTATTTGTCAGTTATTTTTCATGCAGTTATTTTTCAATTAATCAATTAATAATAATAAACCAGGTGAAAACTATAAAAGGAGTTGTGGATAGAGCTTATTTACTTATTAAAGGATTCTCACCCTAAATGCAAAATTTCTATATACATTTTTACAATTTCAGTATAAATACAGCTCTAAGTAGGTTTATCTTTTACCTAAAGGTGTTTTTTTATTTACTGTTTTGTTATTAAGTAGGTTCACAACTATTTCATTTATTGATTAATCATTATTAATCCGATCAATTGTTTCAACCTAATTAAAGCGGTTCAAATACAGAAAAGAACAGAAAAAAACTGAAAAAAGATAAATCAACATCTTAGTCTCTGTTTGTGCTTTATATGGTTTATCTATTTTCATAATGCATTTTATTGCAAAGATTGAACTAATCCACAGTTTAGCTGGAACAGAACAGATATTACTAGGGCTAATCTTCCCTTTAAAAGGAACATATTTCCAAAAGAAAGCCAGAAGAAGTTCAGGTTTGCCGTCAGCTATGGGGGGAGTAAAACAAACTCGTCTGGCTAAAGTCACGTGATAAAAACAGAAATTCTTTTGCCATCATGTAGGGATACGTTTTAGAACCCCACCCTGAAGCAGGGATGGGTACTAACTACTAACATTTACTCAGTTAGATTTACTTGAATAAAAAGTACTCTTCCCACCTCTAACCTGAAGACACAATCCAAACTATGAAACACGGTGGTGGCAGCATAATGCTTCCAATATGAAGCCCTTTTGGTAAATCGATTTCAGATGTAATTTCAGTTAAGAATCTCTAGGAAGACTTGAATTTCCTTTTCTCAGACTTTCCATCTGGTGTTAAAGAGTTGGAGCTATTTAGAAAATCGTTACAGCAACAACAAACTCTACATTCCTTATGATACATTCTTGAAGGGCTTTAAAGTTACAAAGTGGGGGTAAATATAAAAATGTGTTAGAACTTTTGAGAGAAATTATATGATCTCTTGTGGTTTTGCACGTTTAAAACTCAGCAGCAGCGTTTAGTGTGTTTCAAACAATGGATCTTCTTCATTTGCATCGTTTTCCATGCATATGACATCCCACTTCAAATAAAAGAAGTGTTTTTTAAGTCATTTATTGTTTATGTAAATGTGCTCTTTTTCATTTTCCCCCCTCTTTTTTTACAAGGAGGATTTAATTGGACTGTTCTTGGTTTGTTGAGCTTAGTGTGGTTTTTCCTTTCTTTGTTCTTGAGGCGGAGACATGCCCACAGATCAATCCAAAGTAGAAGTCAACTGTGTTTTCTTTAATCTCGCCATATTGCGCAAAAACAAAACAAAAAGGCACAAACAAAGCACAGTAATCTTTTCTTCTAAAGCATTAGTCAAGAGTTGACTTTTTTTCTCCTCCCTCTTTTTTTCCTCTTTAAGTCAAAAGCCGTTTGAAACGATCCTTTGACACCCTTTACATGCTGCAGTTGGATTAAGAAAGATGAGGAGCTGTGTGTTTTCTGGAGAGGATCCAGATGTGTTGTGCAAGAAATGTTTTTTTCCCACTCGTTCATGTGAGTGTAAGAACATGTTGGGGCTATCTGTTAGATATCGCAGCTCACAGAAGGGATTTGGACCGCAGATCGAATGCTTTTTTAATATGCATGATTACTTAGTAAAAAATGTCTTCAATGTGATGTCATCTTAGGAATTAAAGGCTGAGCAGACTGAAACAGCTGCCCTCTCTCATGTTGTACGCCAGTGATGCAATAGAAGCTGTTGTGGTTCTGTGCATCTTGGCGCCCTCATGGCGTATCACTTTTTGCCTCAGAATCTGAGGCAATTTTTTGTTTTTGCCTTTTTTTTAAACAGCTTCATGCACTTGCAGAAATGCAGCAGACACACATGCCTCAGAGGAGCAGACAGTTTCACGCCGCTGCTGGTTCTAAGCATGATTATGACGGTTCAATTGATGTGAAATGGATGGCAGCATGTTTTCTGATGAAAAGACAGGGCTTTATCTCACTGTCCTCAGTGTCTGCATTGTTAGTTGCTCCTACCTTCCTGGAAATTATGGATTAAGATCAAATCAAGCCAAATGGGCAGATTTATACAAGTCTTTTCTAAGATGCTTCATTGAAGCAAGAATATGATGCTTGTTTCTGTTTGTCTCAAAGAAACAACTTTCGATTTTTAGAGATTAAAGTGGAGAAATAAAGAACTTTTTTAATGATGGTGCACAGAATTATGCAGTCAGGTCAACATTTTCTAAGGTTTGCAAGGCCATAATCACAGACTGAAGAGCGTAATCCCCTCAGCATGATGCTGCCACCCTAACTCATCATCTGCATTAAATTACACATAGAAAAGGCTGGGCGATTATATTTATATAAACAATATGAAAGCCTCAGAAAAAGCTGATAGGCAATACCACCTACAGATGTCTATGCAAACTTATGAAAATCATTGTGTAAGGTCTATGTGACTCTTTCAATATAACAAAAAAACATATATAATTATTTATATGTAGAGCAACAAATTTAACAGATTAAATTAACATATAACCAGGTGATTATCTCTCCCTGCACATAATTCAGTCCACAGCTTCTTGGCTCTGTTCCAGTTTCTCTTTTGTTGCCACCTTTTTTTTTTGTTTTTTGTTTTTTTTGGTGATTTACTGTTTTTTTTTGTCCATGAAGACAAACACACCTAAACCTGAAAGTCTATGTTCACAAATCAGTTAAAAAATTTGCAAAAAATCTCTTAACTAGGTTTGAAAGTACAAAGTAAAGGTTGCCATTCTATTCTGAAACATCAAATTTTTAATAAACCCTTATGATCCTTGATAAACACTGGAGGCAACACTTTATAAGTCTTTCTTTTTAAAATTATCTTGTTAGGTTTTCTCCCTCCTTCTCCCTCACTGATGCCACAGCTCCTATGTCATAATTCTGCTAGAAGTGCACATGCATAATATACATGTGTAAATGCACATATGTAAACTACTCTCAACTCACATTTTGAACGTTTTATGCAGTCAGATTTAATAACTCGAGTCCCCCCCAATATTCCACTACCATGAGTTCCTGCTCCTTATCTGCTCTCCTGCTTTTTATACTCCTATAGATTGGCTCCTACTAACGTGTGGATCTTTTTCTCTGTGTGTTTGAACCAATCTGACTGTATGATCTGATGTGTCTTGAGGTGACATGTGTTGAGAGATATGAATAAATTAATATGAAACTAAACTGTCTATAAATAGATATG